AACCCAAAGGTTTATTTCCAGGAGGAAGATCAACCAATTCCCATGTATGGTTGTTCAATATGGATTCTATTTCACTATTGACTGCCTCTTTTCAGAACAATGATTCCGAAGAAGACATAGCTTCTTTAAATGTTCGAGGCTCATTTTCCAACAAGAAAGTCACAAAATCTGGTCCAAACGAAGTAGACGTTCTTTGACGTTTACTACGTCTTGGATCCTCCTGATTAAATGTACTTTCTTTTGTTTCTTCCTGAGATCGTTTAGATCCTTTACCAATCGACTCGCATTCCTTTTTATAAGGATATATATTTTCAAAGAACTCAGCATTATTTGATTCTATAACTGTATTATTATGAATATCGGGATTTTTTTATTTATGAACCAGAAATCGATATGCTTTACTATTGGTCACATATCCTATGAAAACACAATCAACTTCGGTCCTACTTTTACTCTTTTGGGTTTAGGAACTTGCACTTTTGCCAAACACCCTCACACTTTCAAATAATTCAAGTGGGCTTCCTTCCTTTCCATTTTTCATATGGAATGGATTGTGTTTTGTTATGGGGTACTCGATTTAGTATCCGATTAGCCATAAGAACGGCTTCCCCCCACAAGTTCGGTGGCAAACCAGGACTTATCAACAATGCGTTCATCATCTCCTTTAACGAACGATTCTTTCTTTCCGCAATCCCATTGGATTGGGGCATGTAAGGGGTTGTTGTTTGATGAATAATTCTATATTTTAGACATATTTCTTCAAAAGGAGATTCATATTCACCACCCCTATCACTTCTTATCATTTTGACTTTCTTGTTAAGTTGTGTTTCAACTTCATTTTTATATTGCCTGAATGCGTCTATTGCTTCATCTTTACTATTAAGTAAGTAAACATAGCAATATCGAGTACTGTCGTCAATAAAAGTTATGAAATACTTCTTTCCACCGCGAGATGGTATTGAATTCATGTCACGAATATATGTGTGAATTAAGTCTCAAGGATTTGAATTCCTTTCAACCGACTTATAAGGATGTTTAACATACTTAGCTTCCACATATATTTGACATTTTGATTTTTCACATTCAAACTTAGGCAATACTTCCATGTTAATCATTTTCCGCAAGGTTTTATAATTGACATGACCCAAACGTACATGCCATAAATCATTTGACTCAAGTAAGTAAGAAGAAGCTGAAGTTTTATTATTATTTTCAACAACTATTACATTCAGCTTGAAAAGGCCCTCAGTAAGGTAACCTTTTCCTACAAATATTTTGTTCTTACTTATCACCACCTTGTTGGATACAAAAACGCACTTGAAACCGTGTTTTACAAGAATCCCAGTAAAGACTAAGTTCTTCCTAATTTCGGGAACATGAAGGACGTTGTTCAAAGTCATGACCTTGCCAGAAGTCATCTTGAGAAATATCTTCTCATATCCTTCAATTTTTGCTGTAGCAGCATTTCCCATAGAAAGTGTCTCTTCGGGTCCAGCAGAAGCATATGTAGAAAATGCTTCCCTTACAGCATAAACATGGCGAGTGGCTCCAGAATTAATCCAATACTCCTTAGGATTTCCTACCAGGTTGCATTCAGAAAGCATAGCACACAAGTCATCAATATCTTCGTGCTTTTCAACCATGTTTTCTTGACCCTGCTTCTTGTCTTTCTTTGGAGCACGACACTCTTCAGATCTGTGTCCAGCTTTTCCACAGTTGTAGCAATTTTCATTGAACCGCTTCTTGCTTGGGTTATTTCTTGGCCAAGAAGCCTGCTTCCTCTTTCTCTTAATTTGAGAATTATCCTCAACAATATTTGCTCCCATTATTGTTGAGTTTTCATGGCCTTTATTTTCAGCTGCTTTGTTGTCCTCTTCGATTCTCAACCGAACAATGAGATCTTTAAGGGACATCTCCTTTCGTTTGTATTTCAAGTAGTTCTTGAAATCCTTCCACAAAGGAGACAGCTTCTCAATAATTGCTGCAACTTGAAATGCTTCATTGATGACAAGACCTTCAATGAAAATTCCGTTAGTAAAAATACTAAAATTTTTACTTTCAACATCAGTATTCATTTTATATATACCTTCAGCAAGTAGATCATGAATAATCACTTGCAATTCCTGGACTTGGGTAATAACAGACTTGCTATCTACCATTTTATAGTCCAAAAATTTTGCGGCAACGAATTTCTTCATCCTGGCATCTTCAGTATTGTATTTTCTTTCAAGCTCAATTCACAGTTCTTTTGATGTTTCCACATTACTATAGACGTTATACAGATTATTCTCCAGTCAGCTAAGAATATAATTCTTGCACAAAAAGTCAGAATGTTTCCACGCCTCAATCACGAGAAAGCGTTCATTCTCTGGAGTTTCATCGGGCAGATCAGAAACATCTTCCTTAATGAACTTCTGTAGACATAACGTAGTCAAGTAGAAGAACATCTTCTGCTGCCAGCGCTTGAAATCAATCCCAGAAAATTTTCCGGGTTTCTCTGTCGGTGCCAACGCCGGTGTTCGGCTTGTCGATGCGTTGGCAATCACCATCAGAACAGCTCGGTTTCCGTTGTCATTTGCCATTTTTTCTGTAAAAGAATGACACAAACAAATGTTTAAACTTGGAGAAAAAAAATCACGTAGATTTTAATCTCCAACAAACCGCCACAAAGGCTTTAAAACTGGAGTAAAAAATCACGTAGATTATAATCTCCAACAAAATGACATGGAGGCTTTAATCTCCAAAACGGGAGTAGACAAAACCACAAAGGTTTTAGTCTCCAGAGCATTAAGTATAACACAAATACAAAAATAAAATTAAATTCCTTAAGCTTGTCGGTTGTATCTTCTTACTTGCTGTATTTGTAAATAATAATTTTGGAGAAAAGATAGTTAGCGTATAAATGTAAATATAAACGAAACAATAATTAATTCGAGCCCACTGAATTCACAGTATTTCCTTAAGGAATTTAATCCCCTCCTAGTACCCAAGGTTATGGATTATTTCCTCCCAGGATAAAACGAATTACACACTGGTGTAGCGGTACTTTAAACCCCGGTGTTTCAGCGAACACAAAGTTCGGTAGCAAATCACACTTATGATTGCTTTGTTTGTAGTTTAAAACAATGCAGAACAAAGGAGGAGAACTCAGAAGTCGAATGAAAATTCTGAGAGGAATGACTGCAATTTATAGCCAACGTTCAGTTTTAACTGAAGAGGAGATCAACAACATGCAGATTGCTCTCAATTCCGTTTCTGTCCGTGTTCTATATTTTCAACAAGTTGCTGCACATATTTATAGTGCAACCAGCTGATGAAATGTCATTCATTTGCCCATGGTGGAGCATGCACTAGGTTGTTATTGGAGCAATCACTTGGAGCACTTGCGGTTATGGAGCAAGTACTTGGCCATGGTGGGAGAAGCACTAGGCTGCTGGAACACTTGGATTAACAATCCAATTTGGTCCAAAAAATTAATTAATCAGCCGTAGCCGTAGCCGAGCCGAGCGAGCGACGACGACGGCACGAGGCTTGCCTTCTTCTTAACGCTTTAAGAGCTACAAGAAGAGCAATTGTATATATACCCTCCAAAAGTCTTTTTCTCTTCTAATATAGGACAATGTCTCATTGTGAAGAGAGGGAAACTCAAAATTTTACTCAAAAAATTCATTTTCCCTCCATTTATCATTCACCCCCTTTTTAAGACTTTTTCATCTTAAAAAGAAACTCAACAAAGATTATTAATTTAGAATCCAGTTACTTAAAAGTGCTAGAATTCTAAACATATAAGCTTTCGAATCCTGACTCCGCCTGTGCAGTGCTCAATCTCTTCAGAGAAACGGCCAGTAGCACTAAATTGGATCGAATATAGAGGAAAAAGGGAGACCATCAAATGAAGTTTTGACAATTTTCTCATTTGCAAAATACTACTACTACTAATAACAAAGATGCTTGTGAAGTGAAAGCAGGAGAAAACATAGTATGTAGCACATAATGTAATTTTCAACGACAACAACTCAGTGTAATCCTACAAGTGGGATCTGGGGAGGGTAGGATGTACGAAGCCTTAAACATATCCTGGAAGGGCAGAGAGATTGTTTTCGATATACCTTCGGCTAAAGAAGATAGATGAAACACTGATAGCAAGTAATAGCAAAACAATATATTTAGAAAACTAAAACGAAGATAGCAATAGAGAATATGAAAGTGATACCAATAGCAAGTAATATCAAGAGAATATATTTGGGGAGGAAAATCTTTTTGTTACACGAAAGATTCTACCAAGGGAGAAAAAGCACAAGGAAACAAGCTTCCACACCAAAGAACTAGTGCGACATATTTACGTGCAACATTATCCAAATATAAAACACTTAAGACTCTTTTTTCTGGAGGGAGGCATGTCAACCCCTGGCTTTAAATTTTATCCGGTAGCATGCTTGTTGGGTGGTTAAATTCATTTCAATTTTCTCGTTAAGATCTAAGACGAGCATAAATGAAGCGACATGGACAACAATGATTTATTTAGTCGATCACAACTTACTTGGAATCGAGACTTAGTTATTGTTGTAATTTGTTAGGACATCGGATCCATATACATATGCAAATTTGTATTGCCAATTTTACAAAATTGGGTGCAAGATGATAAAAAAGGACAGATCAATTACCAGTTTTAATAGAAATATTGGCGAATGACGATATAGATTTGGTGTCTTGAATGCTTTTTTTCAAAGAATTTGTAGTCTGAATCTTGTCCTCCGATGACAAGCAACATGAAAAACAGATCATCCTCACTTTCCTCCTGCTATACTATATAAAATATCATATCTTATATTTGCAAAATCATCAACAAAAAAATCTGGGCGTGGTCACAAAATGTCATTATCAAATTTAATGACGATAATTTTTAGAGAGGACTCCACCAGCGAGAATATATTCAAAAACTCGATACCCATATCAAAGGTAAAAATCAAATTCTTTTGATCCCTGACGGAGCCAATTTTTTTTTTTTTTTTTCTCTTCTTTTTAGCAAAATGTTGGTTTAGCCGTCTATCCATTCAGACCAACTATTTCGGGAGGGAAAGATTTATATCGAGTTTGTAATATTATTAGCTGGATGACCATTATTAGTACCTTTTTTTTTTATATATAATTTGTATAATCATCCATAACACAAAGGCCCACTCTCAGAGGCAGAGATGTAGCTTTTGCCGGATTCATCCGAACCCAATATTTTGACATAGTGTATAAATTTATATATAAAAACACATTAAAATTGAAATAAATCGTAGATATGAACCTATAATTTGAAGATACAATAGGTCCAATGTTTAGAACCTTAAATGTTGAACTCATAGAACTTAAATTCTGAATCCGCTTTTGCTCAGAGGAAGCGCTCCAAGAAAAATATTTTCCTTTTTTAACATTCAAATCCGAGACCTTTAGTTAATGGTGCATGGATTTCATCTATCTCATGATCAAGGTCCATCTATCTCGCCACACCACTTTGGTCATGACAATATTATCTTATTATTAGAGATAAATCAACTATTTCTTTAACAAATAGGTCAAATTAATATTCTTGACAGAATTTATGACACAAGTGCTCAAAAAAAAATTCCAGTCCTATTAAGCAGCAATATTGCTTATTTATGTATTTTACTTGTATTTAGTTGGAGCACTAGAAGCTCTTTTTAATCAATTTACTTTTTAAGTAACTAGTTTCCCCTTTCTGGTTAATGGTAAAATAACATTAAACGGTTGAACCATGAATTAGACTAGAGCAAATATTATTTTTCTTTATCAAGTTATCTTAGAATACATGGTTAATTTGTTAACCTTGATTTATAGTTTAAAAAACTAAATATCTCCTCTATTTTGAGAAATACCAAAAAGTTTTTCGCTTTAATATCAGCAAGGAAAAAAGAAATTTGCTCTCGATTTTACCCGCAAAGGAAACTATTATGTTCAAATCAACTTGACTCATTTGGTCTTTAATCAGGTCCAGTGCGGACACCCTTAAGTAAGAAAAGTCATCGAACACCTTTCCAAAAATAGAGAAAGAAAAAGAAAAGATATTCGTTTTATATGTATATAAGTAATAATTTTACACATATAAAAAATGTTGTACACTATGTTGACATTGCTTACAAATAATACAAAGTATATATTAATTTAGGACAAAAAACAAAGCCTTACAAGTTAAAAACTTAAAATCAACAAAACCCCAAATCAAACCTTTAAAAGTCTGAATTTGTTGTAATAGAATCCAAAATCTTGCGTACCCCGCGTATCAGGCCAACCCCCTCCCCCCTCCCAATTCACCTATCCCTCATTGTTGGGAATAAAACCCCCCACAGAAATAATATTCACGGTAATAACAACGAAATAATAACGTAGTACCGAGATACGGTAATCAACAAGAATAAAAGAGTGACAATGATACCAAGATTTTTGCGTGGAAAACTCTTCTGAATAAGGAAAAAAACCATGATCTTGAGAGGAGCAACTGATATCACTATAGCAAGGAATTTTACACTTTGTAGGTCCGAGTAAAATACTTCAAAGACCACCACAACACTCAAAAAATAATCCTCTTTTGATATTGCTACCTTACAATAATGTCGCTCACACTCCCTATTTTTCTCACAGACTATTCGCTTATACCCTGTTTGTGATGCCTCACTCTTTCTTTCTCTCTTTGTTGGTGTGATTGAAGAAGTGAGAGAGCTAGGAGAAAGTACTTGGGCTCCAAGAATGCTACAGGAGAATTGTTAATTCTCCTCCACAATCTAGCATTTGGCTCCAAGGCTCTCTGTCAAGACTATCCATAAGCACATTCTTATTTCACTTCTTCTTTATTTGTTTTAACAATGGGTTGGACCCCACAAATCTCACCCTCCAGGCTCATTCATTGGAAGGAGATAACACCAGGGTTTTTAGTTTGATTGCATGCCGGCAAGTTTTTTACATAGCTCGAACTTGTCTCTTGGTACCACTTTTGTCAGCAATCTGAAGGATTCTCACTTGTAGGGATCTTTCTGACCTGCATAGATTTGTCCTCTATCTTTTTCTAAATCCAATGAAATTGCACGTCGATATGCTTTGTTCTTGCATGATACATGATATTTTTGCTCAAGTCTGTTGCACTTTGACTGTCACAATAGACGATATATTCCCTCTGGTGTAATCCAAGTTCTTGAAGAAATCGTTTCAGCCATACAATCTCCTTGCTAGCTTCAATAATGGCAATATACTCTGCTTCAGTTGTAGAGAGTGTGACACACTTCTGCAACTTCGATTGCCATGATATAGCTCCCCCTGAAAATGTAAACAGGTATCCTGTAGTGGATTTTCTGTTATCAAAGTATCCTGCCATATCAGCATCTGTATAGCCCTTCAAGATGGGATCATATCCTCCGAAACACAAGCAATCTCATGCGGTACCTCTTAGGTACCTGAGTATCCACATGATTGCTTCCCAATGTTCCTTTCCAAGATTTTCAAGGGACGTGTTAACAACACCAACTGCATGAGCAATATCTGGTTTGGCGCATACCATTGCATACATCAAGATTCCGACTGCTGGAGAATAAGGAACTATGGTCATGCTCTCTTCATCCTCCTTTGTTGTAGGACACATCTTCTTGCTTAACTTCATATGACCAGCAAGAGGTATGCTGACTGGCTTAGAACTTTTCATGTTGAAGCGTTCCAGTAAACGTTCAATGTACTTCTCCTGAGATAGCCACAACTTTTTGCATGCTCGCTCTTGAACAATCTTCATCCCTAGAATTTGTTATGTTGCGCCCAAGTCCTTCATATCAATAGACTTGAACAAATCTTCCTTCAACTTTGCAATCAGCTCCTTGTCTTGTCCTATAATTAAATGTCATTCACATATAACAACAAAATGATAAAGTTTTTACCAGAAAATCTTTTGAAGTATACACATGGATCAGAATAGGTCTTTATGTATGTTTGACTTTTCATGAATGAGTCAAACTTCATGTATCACTGCCTTGGTGCCTGCTTCAATCCATAAAGACTCTTATTCAATTTTCACACTATGTATTTCTTTCCAGCTACTTCAAATTCTTCTGGCTGCTCCATATAAATTTCTTCTTCCAAATCTCTGTGAAGAAATGCAGTTTTCACGTCCAACTACTCCACTTCAAGATCTAGGCTAGCTGCTAAGCTCAAAATTGTTCGAATAGAAGTCATTGTGACAACATATGAGAAAATTTCGTCAAAATCAATACATTTCTTCTATTTAAAGCCTTTAACTACCAATCGAGCTTTGTATCTGACCAGCTTGCCATTTCCATCTTTCTTGAGTTTAAAGACCCGCTTGCATTTGAGTGGTCTTTTACCCTTTAGAAGTTCAACTAGCTTGTACGTGCCATTTTTCTGTAGAGATTCCATCTCTTCTTGCATAGCTTTCATCCATTGGTTCTTTTATGGATCGGATATCACCTCCTTAAAACTTTCTAGCTCCCCCTAATTACTGATGAGGACATATTCTGTGAAAGGGTACCTGCATGACTCTACCCTTGGCCTTTCTGATATCCTCAGAGGTTGAGATTACTCTTCTTCCTGATTAGGGTACTCCACTTGATCGACATCATCATCAAGTTTCTCCCCCTGCTCAATAACCTCACCAGGTTGCTCCCCATACTCGGCAACCTCGTCAGCCTACTTTGTGCACTTATGGGATTGTTAGAAGTAGAAGGAATGGTAACAAGGTTAAGGATTATACCATTCTTGGCCTTTTCTGACTGATTATCTACAACTCCAACTTCAAGTTTTTGGAAGATTACATCTCTTTTTCTAATAACCTTTTTCTTTATTGGATCCCACAATCTGTACCTGAACTCTTCATCTCCATATCCGATGAATATGTAGGGAACAAATTTATCATCCAGCTTTGTTCTCTGCTCCTTTGGTATATGTGCAAAAGCTCGGCAACCGAACACCTTCCGATGTGAGTAGGACACCTCCTTGTTGGTCCAAACTCTCCCTGGGATGTCAATCTCCAATGGAAATGATGGACTCCTATTGATCAGGTAACAAGCTGTCTGAACTGCTTCACCCCCGAATGACTTAGGCAGTTTAGCCATTCTGAGCATGCTTCTCACCTTCTCAACAATGGTGCGGTTCATCCTCTTAGCTATGCATTGTGCTGTGGGGTTCCAGGAACTTTCTTTTCATGTCTGATCCCATGACTTGAACAATACTCTTCAAATTCCCTTGAAATGTACTCACCTCCATTGTCACTTCGGAGACGCTTTAGCTTTTGGCCTATTTCCCTTTCCACTAGAGCATGAAACTTCTGAAAAACTTGAACTCCTAATCATTGATTTTCAAGATATAAACCCACAATTTTTGTTAAGCATCATCAATAAAAGTAACAAAATATTGTTATCGGATATCGATTCTATCTCCATTGGACCATAAATATCAGAATATACCAAATCAAATATATTCAATTTTCTTTCAGACGGTGTCTGAAATGAGACTCTATGTTGCTTACCAAATAAACAGCAGTCACAAGATTTTACCATTGTACCTTTGGCAAAAGAGATGAGTGATTTCCTAGCAAGAATTTGCAATCCCTTCTCGCTCATATAACCCATTCTTATGTGTCACAAATCTACAAAAATCTCATCTTATGCCGCGTTCAATTCACGTTGGCATATTTCTACATTTGTCCTGTAAAATGTGCCAAGAGCAACCCCCTTTGCAATCACCAATGATCCTTTGGTGAATCTCCATTTTTTATTTACAAAATAGTTCTTGTACCCATCTCGGTCCAAAGCAATTCGCAAGATCAATTTCTACCGCAAATCAAGTACGTCCTTCAGAACAATGTGCATCCGACATTTGTCTTAATACAAATGTCACAAATCTTTGCATTCTTTGAGTAACTTGTGTTACCCATTCTCATAGTGCCAAAATCACATGCTACACATATGCAAAAACGATCTCTTACTGGTGTGTCATGGT